CATCGTGTACGTCGGCGGACTTGAGACGCCAGAGAGGAGTTGACCACGACGACAACCGGGTTCAAGTCCGGGGAAGAACGGTTCCAGAAATCAGATAAGACAAAAACAGAATCCAACAAATAAAATGATCGAATGAACAACAGGGTGAGAATGTGGTGAAATCCGAAAACGTGGTAAAAATCAGGGCTTTTCTTTTTCTGGACGGCTTTTGTAAACCGATGGTTGGGTTTGGGGGAAGTCAGGGGGTGGGCGGGTCAGTTGATAAAATTGTTTGGGTTTAGGGAAGGAGGAGGGTGGCCAGTCGCCCAGTCAATCATTCAGTCGGTCGACAGCGACCTCTGGTGGGTTCACGCGAGAACAGCACAGGCGTGAACGGCACTCATGAGAGACATTTGAGATATGAAAAAGTGCACACAGCGGCCTCTCGCAGATTCTGCAAAAATATGTACCTCCCGCAACGTATTTTGCGGCCTCCAGAAACGTCCACGGGACTAAGCTTTCAGAATGAGAAAGGTTACTGTTTTTCCTTATTGTGAAGTTCACCTAATCTTGGATCCGACACGCATACAGAGCAGATGGTTATTATAGTCATCGATGAGTTTTTCAATTTGTTGACATACTTCCAACTAAGCATGGCTGATCTCTTCTTATTTGTAAAATACTGGTAAAAATAATAAAGTTTTACTTATCGTACTAATCATTAAACCTACGATTGATCTGTGAATTGAGTTATTACTGTGTGAAAATCAACGTGTGGTGGCAAAATAAACGAGCTAAAATACAACATATCGAGTTTGTTTTGACTTGTAGCTTATGGCCGTAAAATGAAAATAACCTAAAAACAAGCTATTAAAAAAGGCTTAATAAATAAAATAATTAATAAATAAAATTACGGGTAGGCCTAGTAACCTAATGGTTTATGATGGTTTACAATATCACAGAAAAAGCACACTTATCATAGCCTAAGATAAATCTTTGTTTTTACATTTAAAATGATGAAAAAAAAGTTATACAGTATGTTGAGTTGCGTGTTACCCGTGCCAAAATTTAACCAATTTTCACTGTAATAACTGCGAATTTTGGTATCTTTTTTGGTATTTTTATGGCTACACTAATGCCTTAAAATGTAACTAAGTAATTGTTTTAAATGACATTAGATTGTAACATTTAGCTTTTCCCTAACCCTGATGTTAATTGGATAATAGGCTACGTGAAGCGGGATGACTCGGTTAAGCTGATTTCACTATATTTATTTACCGGTTACGAATAGTCTGATCATGGGTCAGCTTGCATGCGTGGGCATAATTTGACGTCTTTACCTAAAACTTTAAACATTCATAGGCCTGTTATTTAAAATAAAACGGAAATAAGGAGAATAATATATGATTTAAAGCACTCGTTTGGCACTGAAGCCATCATCCGTCTGCATTAATAAGCGGTATGCATTACTATCGTTAAAAAATTCGTAATAGCGAAACTGCATATTGTTATTACTATTAAAACGTAGCCTATATTACTGCCTTAGGTCAGTAACTTAGGCAGTAATGCAAAGTAATAATAAATGTGAATAAATAGCCTAAATGAAAGAAACAAGAGATCAAAATCAGTCACCAGGTCTAGTGCCCCCCTATGGATTTAAAGTGCCCCCTCAGTTTTGACTTCCTGGCGCCGGGCCTGTGGCCAGGTCACCCTTGTAAATGAGATCTTGATCTCAGGGGGTTTTCTCTGGTTAAATAAAGAAACATATAAGTGTTACCCTATACTAAATAATAAAAACATGCATTTTGTATAATCTCTCTAATTATGCTAAAACTATTAACATTGCATGTTTCAATATGCGCTGCACAGTTACCCATGAGGACCTTTATAGAGAGTGTGTATGGTACTGATTAACACACAGCTCAGACACCTGTGCTGCACCCCAGTGCTTTACTGCAATCTCACCGCTTGAATCTCCTCAGACTCCCTCTGGTTCAGGCAGCAGTTCATGTGCATGAGCAGCTCTCTGGGCTTCAAGTGTTTGGTGATTGAGGGTTCGATTCTCTCCAGAAGCTTCCGGTGTTCATGCAGCTCCTCGTACTCGAGGAAGTTCCAGTTTTTAATGGCATCGTGCAGGCCGGAGTACTCTGCATCGACACACACATTACAGGCATTGTGACACTACACACTGTACGTTATGCACTATATATTTATACATTAAGCACTTATACACTACTATGCACTTATACACTACACACTATGCCAGGGTTGTACAAACATTTAAGTATCCTGCATAGTTTAGCTCCAACTTGCTGCAACACACCTGCCAGGATGTTTGTAGTATATCTATTATGAGCTTGATTAGCTGCTTCAGGTGTGTTTGATTACGGTTGGAGCTAAACTCTCCAGGACACCGGCCCTCCAGGACCCGGTTTGGACACCCCTGTACAATGCACTTATACACTAGGCACTACCATGCACTTATATTTACCAAGAGAGCACAAAAAGAGAATGTTAGAGAAATGTTGTGTGTTTTCTGGGAATCACCAGCAGTGAGTAGGAAGTCCAGAAAGGCCTGAAACCAGCCGTCCTCCTCCAGATCACACATGCAGTCCAGCAGCATCTGAGCGGCTGCAGACGGAGAGCTCTGCTCGGTGGACATAATCCGCTCCACTGTTTCTGTCAAGACAACATCGGGGAAAACACACATTATACAGAGCTCCGTTTCACACATCCAGCTTGTTCTGGTGTGTGTATTTGCACAACTGTGTGTATTACTGAACTGTGCATATTTCATATCAATGTATTGAAGCTGATTAAAAAACATTCTTGGAATAAATGAGACCATTGAGCACCAGAAACTATATTAGGCATGAATTTGAAATTGTTTTGTGAATAATATTTTGTACACATATTTAATGGCGGCATGGTGGCGCACTGGTTAGCACTGTGGCCTCACAGCAAGAAAGTCACTGGTTTGCATCTCGGCTGGGTCAGTTGGCGTTTCTGTGTGGAGTTTGCATGTTCTCCCCGTGGTGGCGTGAATTTCCTCCGGGTGCTCCGGTTTCCCCCACAGTCCAAACACATGCGCTATAGGGGAACTGATCAACTACACTGGCCGTAGTGTATGAGTGTGTGTGTGTGTGTGTGTGTGAATGAGTGTGTACGGGTGTTTCCCAGTGCATATTGATTTGCATTTGTGTTTCCTAGTTGCAGCTGGAAGGGCATCTGCTGTGTAAAACATATGCTGGAATAGTTGGCGGTTCATTCTGCTGTCGCGACCCCTAATAAATAAGGGACTAAGCCGTAGGAAAATGAATGAATGAATAGATCTGTAATTATTGGAATACAAAAAACAAAATAATAAAGAAAGGAAAAGGAAAGTATTACAGTGCAACATTACGACAAAACAAACATTACTGTCCAATTTAAACAATGCTTACTAATGTTGTAGAAAAACAGGTTTGTAGAAACAGCACGTCATAGTTTGGCGAATCAACAAGGGCAAAACTTCATAACAATATTTTCACGCACATTATTGCACAATCATATCCTCTTAAACATTAATATCGTGCCGTTGTCTCTAGAATTCAGTATGAGCCAACTGCGTTTGCAGCGGTGAGCAACAGAACGATTCTGATTGGCTAGCGCGCTTATAAAACTCAACAGAAGGGCGTGTGATTGGTTACAGAAGCAGAGCGATGGAAGAACATCAGATGAAAGACACTTCATTATTTTTTCGCTTTAACAACGATATCCATTAAAAGTTCAACTTGATTAACACTTAGAAGAGAAAGCCTTCAAAGAAACAGAATAATACTACAGAGAGAAAAAACAACAATGAAAAATTTGGCTATCTTCTGTGTACTATTTATTATACTTGTCCTAAAACTATTGAAAAACACATATTCCTGTCCTATGACAATTATGTTGATTTGTTAATCTACTTCAGGAACTTAAATACTGTACATAAATAATTTTTTTACTGTAACGGATAATTTTATTTACTTAAATAACATGTAAAATAGGCTACTACTAAAAGCCCCGAATTTAGTCATTGTTCATTTATTAATTAGTGTTGTGTTCTTCGCAGATTCTCAGGCTAATCCGACTTTTATGATCACCACAATGAGATAAAAATCAGTCCTGTCACACATAAACCCGATTTCAGCCATAATAAAGAACAATATTCAATAAGAGTTTGATTAAATAACAATAACACTGTTTTGAATAGGATATCGAGAACACTGCAGGTTGTATGTCTGCAGATTATGTGTTGATGTGTTGTTTATTAACTCACCTTTCTTCAGGTATGTCGTCATGAAGGTTTTTATTAGTGACGGTCGTATAATGGCCGTGATGTAAGAGCTCAAGCGCAGCAGATTCTCCTTCTCCAGCTCGTACATGTCTGCGGTGTTCCAGGAGGACACGGTGGGAATGAAAACTGACCGAGTCCCGACTCACCACCAACAGCTGAGCCTGAAACAAAAACGAAACTACAAACAAGGAAACGAAAGACACCTCGCCGGAGAAAAAGGGTTGCCAGGTCCGCCGTTTTCCCGCAACTGTTGCCAACTTATTTCAGAAGTCGCTAAAGTGAGATCAATATGTTGCTTTCTAAATTATAAGTATTACTACACTAAGAAAAAACATACAAACAAAGTAAGCCTTACACGAACAAGCATGATCTTGAAGTAATTACAACAGTAGACAGATGCTAATATAGAAAAAAAAACAATAGCCTACTTGATATCAAACAGGGGAAAAAGGAGAAAATAATAATGTCAATAGCATACACATACACACATCATATATATATATATATATATATATATATATATATATATATATATA